GAGCCCGCCGAAATCAACATCTATCACACAAAAACAGACTGCAGTAGACAGCAGTCACTGGCAAAGGATTAAGCCATAAAAAAATCAACAAAAAGTAAAAACCTACGCAGCGGACACTGTCCCGAGTCTGCAGTCTGGTGGGCTCGCGCAAAATAACAAGTAACCACATCCAGAATACGGTCCTCTAGTGCCTCGGTGACCAACTTTGCGTAGAACTGGGGCTTCGGCGTGGCGCTAGCCCTCTTCCTCTTTGCACTGCCAGTTGTCCTGCCCGCAGACGTCTTCTCATCTTGCTCTCCTTCCTGAAAACGCTGTCGGGCGGCAACAAAGCTCTGCCGTACAAATAACTTCGCAAGGCTCGACAGGTGAAAACGATTGACAGCTGCCGCTGCAGTCGAAGCACAGCTCGGATAAAAGATATCCACGCCAAGACTGGAGGACACCGGATCCAGATGAAGACGGGCCAGGCGGTAGAGTTGCTCTGATGATGAGCTGCAGCTATCCGGCTGCGAAGTGTTGGTGAGGTTTTCACTGATAGTGTAATGGGCCAGCGATTCAGCCACCTGAATCAAGCGACGGTAGAGACGCCCCAAAAGTAAAAGACGCAGGCTCTCGATACGCCGATCCTCCTCTGCAGTGATGGTTGAGCCGAGATGCAGCACGGAGTCCTGGAAGCTCGAGGCAAGCGAACCAAAAAGCGTCTGCGAAAAGGAGTACAGCTCAGAGGGGCCCTGTAAGAAACCGGGAAAGATATCAGCGTTAAGAACTGGGCAGTGTCGAGATACCGAGTAAGAAAACGGAGGAAAGAAAAACGACGACCAGAATCTTAGTTCGCGATTTCAATAGAGAGGATATTTAAATGTTACAAAGGGGCACGTTTAAAAGGCGTCTCATTTCGACTACTTTGTTTCAAACCGAAGATTCCTAGAGCTTGGGGAGACAGACGCCCGTTTTCTACCCACGAGTACGTGGTGACTAACTCAGAGATGAAGCTACTTGTAACTTGTACCAGAAAAAGTAAGCAAAAGCGGCACTGCACTGATCTTATAGTAGCATTTCAGTGGGTGAGGCGACTTGAGCTAAAGAAGTTGGAAAACCTTTCCAAAGTGGCACCGAAGACAAGGCTCAGACGACACGACTGTCAACTTACGAAGGAACTAAGCTACACCAATCCACACTCTTCCCCTTCCTCGTAGAGGGCTATTAGACGGTGGAGTTTTTTTATCGACGTATGGTTTGCATTCCCCCACCAAAGCGTCTTCAAGAGGGGTCTGGATAATCACCCGTTAAAGGTCAACCACAATCCTCGAGTCACTATAGCAATAATAAACCTACTACTATGTAGATTTCAACGGAATGTTTTGTCTGTATAATGTTTGGCTTTGCTAAACATTCCATGCAGTACAGGTGTTGTGGGCTGTTACTTCGAAAATGTTACACCTTTCTAACGCTTATGTTTCATTATTAGTTTTATGGACGTTTTCTCCATTAAAACTACCTTACAACTTAACTACTTAACTAACTTAACTACTTTTCATGCAGACGTCATTTACGCCAAATACATTGACTGACTGATTAAGACTCACTTCCGTGAGAGCTGAGGACGACTCCAGACCCCGAGTAGCGCTCCTATCACATAGCGCGATCCAATCGGAGAGCTTTTGACAGGCCGACTGCTCCGGTTTGTTGGGAGAGGCTTCGGTAGCAGCCTCCAGGGCCTCCGCCAGACGTCCAATGGCGGCAGAAGAGAGCAGAACGGAGGTGGAATGAACCAACTGGCTGCCGTTGCTTCTGCTGCCACTCAACTGCGACAGACGACCGGGTGAGAGGAGAGTCAGCGCATCATCCAAGCTGACCTGGTGGACGGCGGCTGCAGACGGCTCGGTTGGAAGGCCGATGCTGCGGCGCAGTAGGGCCAAAATGTGATCAGCTAGATCTAGGCAGCCGTAGAGAAGCTGACCAATCAGACATTCCAAACGCGCTTTGAGTAGCTTCTTCTGCGACTACAATGACAGAGGGGGAAGTGTAGATACCGAAAGTAATAGAGACAATAAAGGCCAGCTAATAACACACAACCCCATTGTTCCCGTAATCTAATTGGGGGAAAAAGACCGAGGCAATTAGAGTA